TGACACCTGACGGGGCCACCTCACGTAAGTCCAAAGTGGCGCCAGCACGAGTACGTACACACAATGCTGAGGAAACAGTCCAGCCCAAGTACGTAACAGACCGCGCAAAAGCACCCGCAGGGCCCGCCACCAGCTTCCAGCTCACACGCAAATCAACAGAGGCCACCTTCCAGAACTGAGAGCGCCATGCCGTCTGCAACGTGGAGTGATCAACCTCCCCCGACTGAATCATTAAAGCCCAATTGAAAACAGGTCCAACAATGGCCATCGTCGCTGGTTGAAACTCAAAGCCATCCTCCAACCTCGATGCGATCCAGTGCGAAGCCCCCGAGGGAATGACGTTCCAGCCCAGCTTCGCCAGGGAGGTCATGCGCTTGACAAGGTGCGGCCCAACTCCCATAATGCCCAAGCCGTAAGTGATAGCAGGGCCGACTGCAGCCTTGGGAACCTGCCTGAACTTCGCCCCGAGATGGCTCAGCCTCCTGAAGTGCCTGGCCCGCTTCGAGACACGCCCGGCCCGACCCCGAAGCACGCGAGCACGAACGCTCTTGCCAGCAGCCACCTCCAGGCCCAGGACCTCCAACCAGGACCTGGCCTGGAAACAGTATCTCCGTAGAAGCCGGGCCACGGCGGGGGCGGTGGAGTCGTCAGACGCTGTGAGAAACGCCTTCGACTTCGCCACGGGAAGGCCAAGATCCTGCAGGGTGTCGCAGAGCAATGCCACGGCGTCGGTGGCGATCCTGCACAAATCCGTCCGCCTGGCCACCACCTGCAGGGTAAGGTCGTCCGCGAATACGTCCAAAGAAAAGGAGAAACCCATCTGCGCAGGGATGCCGAGCCCCACCGTGCAGACGAAGTCATCCAACGACGCGAGCATCAGCAGCTGCACCATGGCCATCGCGAACTTGCAGCCTGGCAGCACTCCCTGAGACACCGTAACAGCATACGACGTAGCCTGCTGCCACACAAACCTGCGAGGCGCACGGTACATCACCAAGGCACATGAAATCAACTGGCGCGGAAATCCGTGCTTGGCCGCCGCAGATACCAGCCTCCGCCAACAGATGCGGTCGAAGCACTTCTCGACATCCACTATGGCCGTGACGACGCCATCCTCGACCGCCAGTGCAGCCTCGGCCCTCACCAAGGCCCGTGAGGCCACATCCAGAGTGGTCTTGCCAGAGGCCAGGGCGAAGAAAGGCCTGTCGTGCTCCAGCAGCCAAGTCCGCAGCTGTCCGCTGCGGACCTGCGACCATGCGCGGTAGGTCGCCTGCAAGAGCGCGATGGGCCGCCATCCACCTTTGGGCTTCGCAAGGAGCACAATGTGGACGGCAGCCATCTGCGTGGGCCAGCGCTCCCAGTGCTCCGCCAGCCAAAGTACATAGACGAGCAACGAGAGGGTCTCGTCCGTGAGCAGGCTGAAAGAGCGAGGGGCAAGTCGGTCAGCACCCTGCCCCTTATGCCACTTGAAGGACTTTGCTGCCGCACGCAACTGCCCAATCTTCGGCACAGGCAAGGAGGCGCGCGGCAAACGTCGAATATCCTCGAAGAGCTGGGCCGTATCAGGGAAACCCGCGAGGTGTCGCACCGCGTAGTCGTCGGGCCCATCAGCCGCTCCTTGCACTTGATCACGGGTGGGGACCGCGGACGCTGGGCGCGCATTCCAGATGCCCGACCAACCATCCATTTGATCATCAGCAACATCCTGAGCAAGGGTGGAGGGCCTCTGATGCCGAAACACTTGGGAATGGGGAACACCAGACGGTCTAGTGAAGCTGAACAGCGGCTTGATGCGAGACTCGCGACAGTTGGCAGCCCATCGCGCAAAGTCCCGCCTGCGCTCAGCCATCGCCTCCTGCTCCAGGCCGTCGGCGTAGGATCGAAGCCAACCAATGACAAAATTGACTGAATCCATCAGTAGGCGCTGAATGCCATTGAGACCCAACCCCACGAGACCAGTAGCAGGCCTCCCAGCGTGGTCACTTGACTGCACCAAGGCCGCACGATCCAACAGCTCCTGGAATGCAATGGGGGACGCTTCAACGACCTCTCGTGCCAGCGGCAAAACGCCACGCAGCGTGGCCACCACGTTCTGGCACTCGAGCGAGCGAAAAGACCTTTCGGCGCCTAGAGAGACAAGCCTGTCCAAGCACCGAAGCAAATCCAAAGGTTGCAGGCCAGCACGCAGCGCGTCGTCCGTCGCCTGGGCAAGACGTCGAGCACGTCGAGCGTCAGGAGGTGCGGCAGGTCTCGCAGCTGCAGGCGCTCCCCCAGCTTGGCGCCAGCAGTAGGCCACCTTATCAGCGCGGCCGCAGTAGCGAGGAGCGTCGCACACAGGGATGCCGTAACGCACAAGCAACTCCTCCTCCACGACGTTCACGAACTCAACGTATAAGCGATCCAGCCGCGCCTGAGCCTGAACAGGACTCGCAGCTCCTCCCAGTGCCACATCATCCTCGATGAGGTCGCGGGTACCAGCCGCCAGCACAGGCGTGACGTCCTCAGTCGGGGCTGCCTTCGGGAAAGCCTTCGGCGCCCGCAGGACGAGGAATTTGACCGCCTTAGCCCGCGCGTCGAGGGACGTCAGCATAGGGAAATGTGGCGACGCAGGCCAGCCCTCCACAGGGTGGGGCAGCGCTAGCGAACCCGCGATAGACAAGCTGGCCAGCCAGTAGTCGATGGTCGAGTAGGCTCCCTGAGCGCTGCGGCACGTGCCCACTGGATGGCGCCCTGTAGGAGCGGGAGGTCTCGCGACCACTGCTGCAGGAATGAAGTCCAAGAAGCCATGCTCCCAGTGGTGCTTCGGATCGCAGTTGAAATCCCCCGCCGCAAGAAACGGCCTGTTCCAACCCCGCGGCGTCGTAGCGATGTCGTAGAGCCGCATCGCATTCACGTCATTCCATCGTCCCACCTCAAAGTAGCAAGACAACAGCACGAGCCCCCCTTTGATGCCAAAATCCGCATGACATGCAACACAGAAGCTCGGAATCAGGTCAAAACCTCGCAAGCCTGGTAGCATCGTCACGCTGATGTGACGTCGAATGAAAAGACCAACTCCAGCAGACGGGCGCCCCGACTCCAGACGTCGGCAAGATGAGAGAATAGCATGCCATCCAGCTCGAGCCGCCCAGCCTTCAGCGCGCCGACGATCGTCACCGTCGATGCGCAGCTCCTGGGCCGCCACCACCTGGATGCCAAGGTCGCAGTGGGTCAGAAACTCCCTGCACGAAGCCCAAGGCGAGCCGTTGTAGGTGACGAAAGAGGCCTTCACGCGGGCGCTGCCACGACGCCCGCGGTGTCTAGCCTTCCATGTCGGCCTCGCCTGCGGCTTCCCAGGCGGCTGCGGCGGTTCCCCCGCCAGCGCGAAACGCGTAGGCAACACCAGGAGGCAGCGCCGCAGCAGGGGGGGCCGTGGCAGATGGCGAGGAGTCTGCTGGGCCTCCTGCTCCAGTGGCGGCGGGGGCAGCCGCAGCTCCTGAAGCCATGAGGGCTGAGGCGGCGGGGAACGCTGTGCCAAGCGCTGCAACCTGCTGCCCGATCGCCTCCAAGACTGTGATGCCCTGCCCACTGGCGACGCGCGCAGGGGCACTGGCGAGCGTGGCCTGGAGGCCGACCAGCGTGGAGGCGAGGGCTGCCAAGTCGACACCGCTGGAGCTCGCCGCCGAGGCCGCCACGGCGCGCTGGGCAGCCTGAACCTCCACCTCCAGGTTCTTGACCTCCACGTCGGCCACGCCCTGCTGCCTGCGGAGGTCGTCGACCTTCGCGATCGCCTCCACGAGGTCGTCCGCCACCTGGGAGGCTCTAGCCCGTGCCTCCTCCACGCGCTTCTGGAGGGAGACCAAGAGCTGCTCAGGGGGCTGAGCACGACGCTCCTCAGCCTCCAGGGTGGCGAGCTCCTGTCGCGCAGCCTGGATGAGCGGGTGCTCGTCGGCGTAGCCAAGCTTCTGGAGAGCTGCCAATCCTTGCCTGGCGCGCGCGACTGCAGGCCCAGCAGGTTCTCCGTGGGCTGCACCGACAGGAGGACCAGCACGACCGCGAGGAGGAGGGCCAGAGCGGCGGCGGCGGCCCGCGGATGCCGACCTCCCGCCCTGCTCCGAAGCGGCGGGCGACTCGCGGACCAGGCGTCCGAGGCGGTCCCTGCCGCACTTCCAGCACGTCTCGCGGTTGGGGAAGTTGTTGCGGAACCCGCACAGCCTCGACGCAGCGCAGGGCCAGTTGGGCTGCTGGGGCGGGGCCGCGCCCTGCCTGGGCTGCTGCTGGGCCATGCCACGGCCGCTCCCACGGTCGCCGTGGTGCCCAGCACGCCTGGCGCGGGCCGCGGCGAGGCGCAGCACGACCCTTGCACGAGATCTCAGGCGGCGAGCCCGTCGGTGCCACCCTGGAGAACACGATGTGCGGGCGCCCGCACGCAGCGGGCCGCCGGCGCGGGGGCTATGGCGCGGGCCCCGCGGCGCCCGCCCGCAGGCAAAATGGCTGCGGGGGGGCGTGGGGCGGGGGCCACGGTGCCAAGCCACCTAGGAGGAGGAGGAGGAGGAGGAGGAGGAGGAGGAGGAGGAGGAGGAGGAGGAGGAGGAGGAGGAGGAGGAGGAGGAGAGGAGGGAGGAGGAGGAGGAGAGGAGAGGAGGAGAGGAGGAGGAGGAGGAGGAGGAGGAGGGAGGGAGGAGAGGGAGGAGGAGAGGGGAGGAGAGGAGGAAGAAGAGGAGGAGAGGAGGGAGAGAGGAGGACGAGAAGGATGAGATGAGGATGAGGATGAGGATGAGGAATGAGGATGAGGAGGAGGAGGAGGAGGGAAGGAGGAGGAGGAGGAGGAGGAGGAACAGGAAGAGGAGGAAGAGGAGGAGGAGGATAGGATGAGGATGAGGAGGAGATTAGAAAAAGGGGGAGGAGACGAAGAGGAAGAGGAGGACGAGGAGGAGGAGGAGGAGGAGGAGGTGGAGGAGGAGGAGGAGGAAAAAGAGGAGGAGGGGCGAAAGAGGGCAGACAAATGCCAGGGGGGCCGCCTCGAAGTGCCCTCTCTCGGGAAGACCGGCAGCGGCGGGGTCTCCTCGCCTCGGGCGTCCTCCTCCACCTCCTCCTCCTCCATATCCTCCTCTTCCTCTTCGTCCTGGTCCTCCTCCTCCTCATCCGTCTCCTCCGTTTCCTCCGCCTCTTCCTCCTCCTCCTCCTCCTCCTCCCCCTCCTCCTCTTCCTCCCCCCTCTGCTCCGTCCTCCTCCTCCTGCCTCCTCCTCCTTTCCTCTCCTCCTCCTCCTCCTCCCCTCTCCTCCTCCTCCTGTTCCCGTTCCCTCCTGTTCCTGTTTCCTGTTCCTGTTCCTGTTCCTCCTCCTCCTCCTCTCCCCTCCTCGTCCTCCTCCTCCCTCCCCCCTCTCGTCCCTCGTCCTTCGTCCCTCGTCCTCCTCTTCCTCCCTCCTCCTCCTCCTCATCCTCGTCCTCGTCCTCGTCCCTCGTCCTGGCCCTCCACCTCCCCTCCTCCTCCTCCTCCTCCTCCTCCTCCTCCTCCTCCTCCTCCCCCCCTCCTCACTCCGTCCCTCCTCCCTCCCTCCTCCCTCCTCCTTCCTCCCTCCTCCCTCCTCTCTCTCCTCCCCTCCTCCAACTCCTCCTCCTCCTCCTCCTCCTCCTCCTCCTTCCTCTCCTCCTCCTCCTCATCTTCCTCCCCTCTCCTCCTCCCCTCCTCCTCCTCCTCCTCTCCTCCTCCTCCTCCTCCTCCTCACTCATCATCATCATCATCCTCTCATCCCTTCCCTTCCCTTCCCTTCCCTTCCCTTCCCTTCCCTCCCTCCCTCCCTTCCCTTCCCTTCCCTTCCCTTCCCTTCCCTTCTCTTCCCTCCCTCCCCCCCTCCCGCTGCGGACACGTCCGCCGGCGCACTTTGATCGGGAGCTGGCGCAATCCCCCAACCACAGGAACGGTGCACCGCTCAGCGGTGGCCGTCCCCAGGGAAGAGGGGGTGCGCAAGCCAGGGCCTATAGAGCGGCATACAAGGGAGGCCGTGGACCACCTCCAGCCCATCGTAGGTCTCGGTCGTGGGCCGCCGCCGTCAGGAGGGGCACCAGGGGCGTCCGGCGGCCCGCGGGCGGGGGGCGCCCCCGCTCGAGCGCGGGATGGCCGAGTTGGGCCGGGACTCGGCCAACTCCCGCGCGGGCGGCGCGCCTCCCCTCGGGGCGGCCGAGGCCGCGCGGGGGGCCGCGGGCGCGGCGGCGGACGCGCCGCGCGGGGCGCCGCGGAGGCCGCCGAGCCCAGCGCCGCTCGGGGCTGGCGGCCCCCAGCGCTGCTGCGGTGCCCCCAGGGTGGCGCCGCCCTCCGAGGTCCGAGCCGCCCTCGGTGGCGCCGCGCCCCCAAGCGCCAGTCAGCCCCCGCCTCCTCACCAAGTCGCCCCAGCGCGGAGCACCGTCTGCGCCTGGTCGCGCTGGAGTGCCATGGCGACGCGCCTGTAGGCGCGGCGCATCGCCACGGCACGCTGGTCTGGTGGGAAGCCGCTGTGGAGCGCGCGCAGGAGGGCTACGCCGGCGGGCCCCATCCTCCCGCCGGACTCGAGCGCCAGCGGCACCAGCTCAGGGTGGGGGTAGCGACGGCGCTTCTTGCGCTCGAGCGCGGCCGCCAACCCGCCATCCCGGTCTGCTGCCGCGCGGGCGTCGGAGCCGCGACCCAGAGGGTGGCCGACCGTCACGTCGGCGTGTCTAGTGCGGCCCCCAGGCCAGGCGAAACTGATGTCCAGCCGTGCCTCGACCCCGTCCTGCGCCCACTCTGGCACTACCTGCTCCTCCAGCGGCGCCGCGCCGAGCGCGTCCTCCAGGACGCCGCTGAAAGCCTGCAGCACTCGCGTGTGCCTCCGCGTGTGCGAAGGCCCCCGCGGGCAGCAGAGGGCATGGACTGCCTGGTTGTTGTGCTGCGCCGCGGCGTCCGGCACCCCGGCCCTCGCGCAGGCGCCGCACGTGGCAGGCATGTTCAGCGACAGGCCGAGGCGAACGTGAAAAGCAGCGGCGAACTCGTCGTCCGGCATCCATTCCTCATCCTCGTCGGCCGGCAGCATCCAGGTACCCGCTCCAGGGCCTTCGCCTGAGCGGAGGAGCGCCCGGTCTTCGCGCGGGAGCTCCCCAAGCAGCGCGTCCTTCTCCAGCTCGGCCAGGGCGCGCCCAAGGCGACTCTGCAGGTGGGCCTGGGGCTGTGTCAGTCCGAGGCGCACGTCGTCCTGCACAGCCAGCCCTGCTCGCTCCAGCGTCGCCGTCGACGCGTCCACTCTGGCCGCCAGCCGCGGTGCCCTTGCTCCGAGCTCCTCCAACGTGCTCGCATTGACGGCCTTCGCCACGGCTGGGAGCGCGTCCGCAGCGCTAGCAAGGAGCGCCGCCGGCGCGGTCCGCTTAGCGTCCGGAAGCCCCAAGCCGCCCTCACGCAACGGTAAGCGTGACCAGCGAAGGCGGGAGGGGTCCAGAGGAGCAGAGCGGCCCAGGGCGGCTGCCGCGGCAGCCACTGGGGCGTCCAGCTGCGTCAGGGTTTGCTCTGCTGCCGGCACCGTGCGCATGTGGAAGTTCACATCTGCCGGCACGACCGTGCGGAGGAGGCAGAAGGCCTGGTGCCTGCCCAGCCCTGCCGGCGCCAGTTGCTGTAGGCGGTCGCAGGCGCGTCGGCGCCGATCCAGTAGCCTCTGCCATACCTGGTCCGCCGCCTCCATCATGCCCGGGGCGCCCACGTCGAGGGGCACGCGGAAGACCTCTGGCTGCCGGACCCGGGCCACCGGGAGCCGCGCCCGCGTGGGCGGCGTCTCGAATGCTGGCTCAGGCGCACCCTCGGGCTTCCAGTAGGTGGTCTTCGACGCGTTCAGCCGGAGTCCCGCCTCGGCGAAAGCCGGCGTCGCCGCTCGCACGGTGTCCGGGAAAGCGGCTGGGCTCGCCGCCACATCGACGTCGTCCATGTAGGCGGTGAACTGCCTGGAGACCCCGCCCGCCTGCAGGTTACCGTCTAGCGCGCGCACCGGGGCGTTGATCCCCAGCGCGAAGAGCAAGGCCGAGAGTGCACCGCCTTGTGGTGCCCCGCATCGGACCTGCACCGGGACGTGGGCGCCATCGTCCGTCACCAGCAGGTGCTCCGAATCGGCGGCCAGCAGGCGGCGCACAACCGGCGCCCACACGGGCACCGTCGTGTCAAGGGCGCGCCCCAAGTAGTGCCTGTCCAGCTCGTTGAAGGCGTTGGAAAGGTCCAGGCTGAGCAGGCCCCAGTCTGGGTTGGCCTGCAGGGCAGCCGCCGTCAAGTGCACCACGGTCTCTGCCCCGCCAGGCGTGCCTACCCCATGTTGGAAGGGCGCCGTGTGCGCCCGGATTGTAGGTCCGAGGAGGTTCGCCAGCGCCTTGTGAGCCCTCCCTCTCTCCTTTCCGCCCTCCCTCCCCCCATGTTCCTCCTCTTCCTCCTCTTCCTCCTCTTCCTCCTCCCTCCTCCCTCCTCCCTTCTCCCTTTTCCCTCCTCCTCCTCCTCCTCCTCCTCCATCCTCCTCCTTCCTCCTCCGTCTCCTCCTCCTCCTCCTGTTCCTCCTCCTCCTCCGCCGCCTCCTCGGCCTCTTCTTCCTCCTCCGCCTCTTCTTCTTCTTCCTCCTCCTCATCCTCCTCCTCCTCCCGCCTCCTCCTCCTCCTCCTCCTCCTCCTCCTCCTCCTCCCCTCCCTCCTCCTCTCCTCCTCCTCCCTCCTCCTCCTCCCTCCCTCCTCCTCCTCCTCCCTCCTCCTCCTCCCTCTTCTCCTCCTCCTCCCCATCCTTCTTCTCCTCCTCCTCTCCTCCTCCTCCTCTCCTCCTCCTCCTCCTCCTCCTCCTCCTCCTCTCCCTCCCCTCTCCTCCTCCTCCTCCTCCTCCTCCTCCTCCTCCCTCCTCCCTCCTCCTCCTCCTCCTCCCTCCTCCCTCCTCCCTCCTCCCCCCTCCCTCCTCCCTCCCTCCTCCTCCTCCCTCCTCCCTCCCCCCTCCTCCCTCCTCCCTCCTCCCTTCCTCCCTCCTCCCCGCCTCCCTCCTCCCATCCTCCTCCTCCTCCTCCCCTCCCTCCTCCCTCCTCCCTCCTCCCTCCTCCTCCTCCTCCTCCTCCTCCTCCTCCTCCTCCTCCTCTTCCACCTCCTCCTCCTCCCTTCTCCTCCTCCTCCTCCGAACGTGTGCTGTTCGCGGTGTGGAGGAACCTACTTCAGTGATGTGCAGGGAGATGGTGGCCAAGTTCCTGGTGCTCATGCTGGAGGAGGCGGGGCACGAAATCCCGATGGTGACCCTAACGTTCGGGCTGCGGCTGCCGTGTTGCTTGCAACCCGTCCCGACTTGCAAGAGGTGCTTGGTGCGATGCTTCCTCCACCCCCTGTTCCTGATGAAGAATGGACGGAAACACAATATGTGGACGCTGCTCGCCGTGAACACACCCGTCTTACCAAGGAGGTGGAAAGCTCTGCCAAGCAGGTGCGGCTGGCCTCCCAGGAGGTCCATCACCGTGCCAACAAGGTCCAGAAGTTGGAAGAAGGCCTGCGTGAAGCTCGTGAATACCACCAGCAGGCGGAGAACGAGCAGCGCGAGGCCGAGGAGAAAAAGCGTGCTGCTGATGAAGCCGTTCGGCTCTTTGACCAACCTGCGTGGATCGCCGCCAAGCGCCATGAGAGGGCGCAGGCGGCGGCGCAGGCCAGGGAGGCTGCTGCCGCCCGCGCGGCCCCTGCGCAGGCCCCCGCCGCGGCGGGCGCTGGTGTGCAGGCGGCGCCGGCGGGCGCGCAACGCGCGCCTGTCGCGGGCGGCGCTGGCGGCGTCGCCGACGCCCCTCCCAGGCCTGGCGCTGCTGACGCAGGAGCGCAAAGGCGCATGGAAGTTGATGTGCCAGATCTTTCTGGTATGGATGAGGCCCAGCTGCGTGAGTACTGCCAGGCCAACGACCCCCCCCTTCGGCCTGGTCTTCAGGCTCGCCGACATGCAGCGGCAGGTCAGCGACGCCCAGTCCGATGCTGGCAGTGACGCGGGGTCGGACGCTGGCGACTTACCTCAGGAACGTGCCGACGAACTTGCGGCTCTCAAAAAACAGTCTCTCGAAGGTGCCCTAGGCGATGTCGACCA